AAAAAAAAAGAGAGAAAGAGAGAATTATATTTGCAAAGTGAAAACAATGACTAGTTTTTAGAACAGAGTGAAGAAAAGTTGGGGTGTCAGTTAAGATGACCCCTTAGGGGGCTCCCAGAAGCAGGGAGCTGCCAGGAGCCAGAGGTTGGACTGTCAGCATCTTCGTGTGCAGACAGCAGCTCTCGGCAAAGGGAAGCTATGCCGTGCCCGAGCCTGGTGCGGGACTGCGCGAGGTGCTCTGGTCCTTCTGACTGTGACCAAGCGGGGGACGGCTACAGGCCGTTGGTCGATGGGGGTGGGGCCCTGAGCAGCACAGGGCTCCCTGTCCCCCACCGCAGGGGCTCTGCGGGTGTGGCCCCTGCACCAGTCACAGTGGCACCACCTGGGCACGCATCACAGAGGCAGATCCTGGGTTCCACCCAGCCCCGCTACAGGAGCAACTCCCGGTGGGGTTCAGCCTCTGTGCTTGGGGCTTGGGGAACCGGGCATGAGGACACCTGGGTTGCTGCCTCGGTAGGCCTCGGAGCAGGCATTTGAGCTTTTTATCCAAGTCAGGGGGCCTCTCTGTCCTTCACTTTCCCACCACGCACGCCCCAAATCCGGGCTGTTGAGCTGCTTTGCAGTTGGCCAAGAATCAGGCACCCAGCTCCACCGCCGTCACCATCTGAGCCCTCCCTTCCTCCCTCATCTCCCAACACTTGCTGCTCACACACTGTAACAGGCTCGTTATTTTCTTTCATTAATTCAGAGGAAACTTCTAAAATTGATACATGGAAGATGGTGGTCATTTGCTACAAACAGGAGACAATCACTAAAAATCTGCACAGGGGTAACACGGTGGATTAAGTAAAGGAGATCAAGTGTCCAGGAGGTGTACAAACCCCAAACCCAGATGTTTTTCTTGTTGCCATTGTAACCAGAAGCGAGAAAAGAAAATGTCTCAGGAAATGTGACCTCGCTCCCCTTTGGCGGTCCTGAAGGTTAGAGATTCGCACTCTGCACACGGGGCTTCCAGGGTTCCCTCCACTGCTGAAAGGGGAAACACCAAGCCTCCCCCTGTGATCAGGCTGAAACAGCAAGCTTTCCGGAGCCCCAGGAGACAGTGCTAGGGACAAAACGCCTTCGTTCAGAAGTCAGAGAGTGGGAGTGACAGCTTACCAGTCGTCCTAAATTTTCACTTTCGTCTGACCTTCCTTCCAAGATTGACTTTTCTTTCTCTTGCTGTCCAGGGAGCATCTATAAAATAAAATCCCTTTAAATGACCAGCTTGAGCGGCTTTTATGGCTTTTACGTTATTGTATTATCTCAGAAACTCCCGTCCTCCCCCAGCCAGTAAACTTGTTTCTTAGTTGTCATGGTAATAATTCCCGTTGCAGCTCCGGTTGCTTTTGTGCCTTAGAAATGGCTGGTCACTGTGATGCATATTTTAAGAACCATCAAAGACAGCCACGTACCCGCCCCCATAGGAGCCTCCCTTCCTGATCTGTCGGGCCTGACATTTACAGGAAAGATTGATTCCTAGCCAGTGCCCACCTGATGCTAAATAAATCTGCCTCCAAATCCTGGGTGTCATGTGAGGGTCTGTGCTTGTCATCGCAGCCTAACTGTCCAAGTTCTCTTTAACACTTGCGTGTCTTTTCTTATATTTTTGCCAACAGTTCTGCCTAATGATGCCTGTTAACCAAAAGAGATTTTGGCAGCCCGAGGTCTGGACTTCGTGTACCAACATGGCTTAATATAATGGCCCACACCATTTAAAAAATTATGAGCATATATAAGAGAAATTAAAAACATTCAAGTTCCTAGGATCTGTCAGAGGCCTAACATCACCAGGCATTTGGATAGCACCCCAAGGCCAGGGATGAAGGTGCCAAGCTGGGTCCTTGACACAGCCCCCAAGATCCTAGAAGCTGCTAATTCCTGAACCCAAGCCTGCTTCTGTGAGGGCCAGAGGCCACCAGCCAAGTTCTAAGACTAAAGTAGGCATGGAAGAATGTTGGCCCTTCCTTTCTGTTTCTAGGAAACATGCTGATAATGACTAAACCTACAGCTTTCAACAAAACCAGGAAACTTGGTAGTAAGATTTAAAAATTTACTCAACAAGTAGATTTACTATTTTTTGGTACTGGGAATCAAATGCAAGACCTTGTACTTGCCAGGCAGGCATCGTGCCACTGAGCTATACTCCCAGCCCCTTAGATTCACTTATTTTGAGACAAGAGCTCCAAGAAGTGTCCTTGAGCTGATGATTCTCCTGCTTTAGCTCCGTGGGTGCTGGGATTATAGGTATGTGCCACCTCTCCCGGCGTCAGTGAACAAATTTCTAGAAGATTTTAAAAATCCTTGCTAATTCTAGCATCCATGAGTAAACCTGAGCTCCAAATATGTCTTGAGGAAATCCAACTACGCTTCTGTTTCATCTGCCTTAATATTAAAATAATTATCTGACCTAATAAGATTCATCCAGGAGTTTATTTTCATGACAACTAAAGATTGATTGACTTTTTGGTTGATTGATCAATTGATGGGGAAATGAACTAAGTTCCTCTGGGTGGCCCCAGAGCCATCACACCACTGATAAAGATGCTCAGTATCTGCTGGGCGTGGTGATACATGCCTATAATCTAGCACTCAGGAGGCTGAGGCAGGAGGAGGTCTCCATTATGAGCTGGAGACCAGCCTGGTCTACAAAGTAAGCTCCAGGCCGACCTGAACTGCACAGTGAGATCCTGTCTCAAAAAAAAAAGATTCTCCGTGTCTCAGTCCATGATGACCACATGCTTACTGGTGACCATCCACGACCGCCACCACCTTGGACTCTAAACTCACCTGTTCACAGGCAGTTGAGCTGCTTTTCAGTGCTAGCTTAGGGGAGTGGTCGCCTCCCCTTGGCTTATCAGAAGGAGCACTCTTCAGGTAGGATTCCACTTCTCTTTGGGGAAGCGGGACACATTTTACACATTTAAATTCTGCACTTGGCGGCAACCGCACAGCACCTTCCTTTTCACAGTTCTGCTTAAAAAGGAGGCTCCCATTAGCAATGACAATGGAGACAAACCTCTTGACATCTTCCGGAACTGTCCGGGCCACCATGACAAACCTCTCAAGGTCATCTATGCTGTTTTGGACTTTGTCTGTGGAAAGAACATTAAGGGACCAGTCACAGGAGTCCAGGGATTCCTTTGCTTCCAGGAGGCTCTGGTAGGAGTTGGAGATCATCTGTAGCTGATCCCGAATTCTAACCTGCAGGTGACTGTCACCGAGGTTGCAGGCCATCCCACAAACTGCTTGGGCAAAAGCCAGGAACTGTCTCAAGGATCCTTCTATGTGGTCCGCTGCACTGTGGATCGCATGGATGTTGGCCTCCAGGGAGTCCCTGAGCCGCCAGTTCCTGCTGACAAAGAGCAGCAGGCCTGCTGCAGAGCTGACCACCTTGTGCTGCAGGGCCGTTGCCATCTCTTTGGCCAAGTCCACATCCAGCCAACTCTCCCTGGCTGACTCCTCTGCGGAGGATCCAGAGCAGGAGTCCGTGGAAGTGGAGGAGCATGAAGAAATGATACTGGCTCTGCTCTCGGAGCTTGAAACAGACAATCTATCCAGCTCCAGGGACAGGGAGGTCATCTGTGGTGAGATCGGGCAGGAATGGTGGCCTGCAGAACTCTCTGGAGCCTCCTTGGTTTTTTGAAACTCTTTCTCAGCTGCAGGAGGACCTGATACTGCTTTAGGGATGTCATAAATATTGGGTGTGGTGTTCTGCTGCTCCACTCGGGGAAGCAGAAAGCTCAAAGGCACCTCGTAGCTGGCGTCTGTGTCCAAAGGGACTGTGTTCCTGGGTGCTAGGAGGGCATGAGAGGAGACCTCTGGAAGGATGGGCTCTTTCTGCATGGACACATCGTTCCCTGGCTGTGGACCCCAGGCCCTGTCTCTGCTGCTCAGAGAGCTGTGGGCAGCAGGTATCAAGCTGGGGGCAGCGGTTGGCTTCGATTCCTCTGCGAAGCCACTTAGAGATGCATTCCCAAGGTTGGCCCTTCCCAGAGACACTGGGGTGTCATAAATCCATTCCGATTTCTGTGGGCTTGGTAATGTATTGCAGCCAGCTCTTCTGAAGCCCAGCGTTGGGGTCAGGGAACCACTCTGCCCCTGTGACAGAACCACACAAAGTTGTCCCAGATTAGTAGGAAAGATAGGTTTAAGCTGAGCATGGTGGGGCACGCCTACTATCCCAGCCCTCTGGGAGCCTGAGACAGGAGGACTGCTTCCCCCATTTCATCCCTGCCACTCCCAGGGCACAGAATACTTGCTCACACCAGTGCATTTGCCTTTGCCTGACCTGATTATTTTGCCCTAATTGCTCTTCCAACACTTTCCCTTTCATCTAACAAACTCCTATGCGGCCCTTATGACCCTGGAATGCCACCTCTTTTGTAAGGTTTTCCCACTTGGGCACAGTGTAGCTAGGACACTAATGATGAATATGGACGATGCCGATGGCAAGTGAGGTCTATGTCCAAGTCAAAGCGTGCTTTAACGCAGTGCATCCTGAGGAGTCTCAAGCAAGAAGCGACGAGCTGACGCTTGCTGAACTCTCGCTCAGTGCCAGGCACTGTTCTGGGTGCTTTGCAGGAGATACCTCACTTTGCAGTCCCTGTGCACCTGAAATAAGAAACTGAAGTGTGGAGAAGTTCACTGCCTGCTCACGCCATGTAACTAATCCTGCTGATACACACCAGCTGGGTGTGGTGGCACAGCCCTGGAAGCCCAGTGCTTGGGAGGCTGAGGCAGGAGGATCGCCATGAGTTCAAGGCCAACATGGGCTACATAGTTCAAGGCCAGGCTGAGCTACACTGTGAGAACCTGTCTCTAAGTAAATTAATTTTTTAGAAAATCAGTGCAGTCAGGGATTTTGCCTCAAATGTGAGACTTCTTCAAGAGGAATTTGCCCTCTGATTTTTGCCTGGGCTCTGTAGTTTGGATCTGAAACATCACTGGAAGTTTTGTATGTTGTAACCTTGGTCTCCAGCTTTCGATGTTGTTAGGAAGTAGTGCAATCACTTAGAGGTTGAATGAAGTGATGTCAGCAGAGGTGACCCAAGGGGGATATGGGGACTCCAATCCCTTTCCCTTTCCCTCTGTAAATTGGTCACCATGAGGTGAATGTCCTCACTCCTTTGTGCATTTCTGCCATGATGCTCTGCACTGCCGCAGGCTCCAGAGGAAGGTGCCACCCTGCATGGACTGGACCATCTGAAACTATGACCCAATAAACCTTTCCTCTCTATAAGCTGTCTGTCTCAGGCACTTGATCACAGCGATGGTAAGCTCACACATCAAGCTGATAAAATTTCCCAGCCGACATTGAGTTTCTACAACGTCACACCCGGCACCTGCTTATACTCACGCCTGCTTGTTTGCCCAGGGAGTGGAAGGCTGCCTGTTGGGAGCTGGTCGGCACGTCATATAACTTGTGCTTCTCCTGCTCCTAATGTAGGACATAAGGGAGGAAGACTTAGTTCTTGCATCCTAATGGCCGCTATCACAAACTCTTCACACTCCAGTGGGGTTTTTTGTTTGCTTTTTGCTTTTCAAAGAAAGATACAAATTCCTGAATACTTTGGAGTTTTCAGTCAAGCTGCTGTTTGCCTCTGTGCTGCAGTGCGGGTGCATTCAGCCAAGGATTGGTGCTTTGAAAGAACTCCTCCTCCAAAGACAGGAAAATCCACAGAGCCCTATCTGTGGTCACTTGAGTTAAGTTGACAAGTTATCTTTTTCTTTTAGAAAAATCTTTTATTTATTAGTGCAGGGTCTTGCTACACAGCTCAGACTCGTAGTGATCCTCCTGTCTCAGCCTCCCCAGTGCTGGTGCACGCCTGGTTTCAGTGGCCAGCTTGGCACAGGCCATCATGACGTGCTGGGGATTGAAGCTGGGTCTTGCACTTGCGGGTCAGGAGCTTAGACCACAGAGCCATTTCCCTGACCCCAACCACTCATCTTAAGTGTGTTGGTCTTAACAACAAATGAAGCCACAATGAAAAAAAAAAAAAAAAATCCTGGACATCTCATATGTTTCCCTTTTCATTTTTCTCAGTTGAAATTCTCCTACATTTATCCCACATGTATTCATCCGGAAAAAATTTATGGAGTGCCTACTACTGCTAAATGTTAAGCTGACTGACACTGTATGCATACAGTACTGAAGGCAATAAAAAGATGCTTGGGGTGACTTTTTAGACAAATATGTATCACACTGAGGACCTGCTAAGGTGCGCAGCACTGAGAAGACACGCGTGTTAGGACGAGAGCCCAAAGGTGCAAATCCCAAAGCTGGGCGAGTGGGCACAGAAAGGGAGCGAGTGCGTCTGGGTGAGGCTCACCTGAAAGGCCGGGCAGGGCCGGCTGTGGACGGGCACATCGTACACCTGGGACGGCAGGGTTGGCAGCGAGGCCCTCGCTGGTCTAGGGAGCACGAAGAGGGCCTTCGAGAAAAGGAGAAGAAGGAGGGGGAGACAGCGTCAGGAAATCGGCGTGGCACCGCCGAGTTAGCGCTCCATTCCAAAGACGTCTTGGGTGCAGATCCTCCACGCTGGAGCCTGGGCACGGAGGGCTGGGCTCCACGGCTGGGGCGGGGCCGCCTTCAGCGCAGCTGCACGCGTCTGCCCAGCAGGGAGCAGGAGCAGAGCGCTGAGGGGGCACACCCCCAGCAGTGCAGTGGAAACGAACTTGCCTGGCGCCCACACTGTGTCATTTGTGTGCTCACCCAGGGACACGGAGGCTGCCGCCGCCAAACTGACAAGCAGAGCGCGCTGCTTGCAGTAGCTCGGGGGCCCAGGGAGGAATCATGCGTGACCGCTCTTGCTGTCATGAGTGGGAGGCGAACAGACCATGGCGATGAGTGGCTGAAAGGAATAGAGGGGTGCGAGCAAGAGCAGAGGGTGGCGGAGTGGGAGGTCGGGGGTGCAGGGGGAGTCGCTTTGATGTTCAGCAGGCTGCAGTTGTTGCTTATGCTGTTGCTGTAGAATCTGAGCCTGATCCTCTCTAGGAAAGGGTGATAGATAGATAGATAGATAGATAGATAGATAGAT